TAATAATTGATAAAACTTTTCTTGATAAATAGGTAGCCACTAGCCAGTAGGTACTAATAATTATTAACATTATTTTCGTATAGTTAAATAATTATAAACTAAATAAACTATAAAATATAATAGCCGTTAAGTAGAAGCTTTTTACATATCATATATTTTGTTAACTTTAGCTAATAGTGATACCGACTACAGATGTATCTTTTCGATCATCGTTGACAATAAGCTGCCTCCTAGAGAATAAAAAAATTAAATAAAAGTATTCAATAAAATAGTATTAAATAGTAAAAAAAAGTATTTAAAATACCATTCAAATACTTCAAAATAAAAAGTATTTAAAAAAGTATTCAATACCGAAAAAAGTATTTGAATACTTTTACTCAATTACTTTTACTCAAATACTATACAACACTGCATATATGTGCTTCAAATTGTTTACACGAGCAAGTGAGCTAGGTATGGCTCCATCCATAATATTTGGTATAAGCTTAAGGTGTCAAAAATCAAAGGAAAAACTTGATAATCAAACACTTAAGTTCGGCAACCGACTAAAGATCTTTTTATTCAAAGTGTCCTAATAAGTCATTAAGGGTTAATTAGGTAAACCTATTATGGTTAGTGGATCCTATGGTGATGATAGACGACTATCATCACTGGTCGTGAGCTTTGCAATGATCTTTTCCTACTAACTATCAAGGTATTCGATATTGTAAACATAACAATGAAAGAAAATATTTAAATAATGGTTATTTTAGGTTAGGTTAAGGAGAATAGAGGAAATTAGATATAACTAATTATCATAGTTTTTAACACGGGCTTAAAGACTGCCAGCTAGAGTTGTACCAGTATAGTTAAAAACTTAAATACAGCCAACTTTAATTAATGATTTTTTTACCACAACGAACTAATAATAATATGTATTTTAAAATATGATAAAATTTTATTTTATTAGGTTTTTATAAGATTTTAAATACTTATTAGTTTTTGTAAATAGAAAATGTATAACTTAATATTATTGTAAAATAACCTTTTTCTCATTTAATTATTTTGCATCCTAAATAAATTACATTCATTTTTATGCATTTTCTAATACATATATTACAGTGATACACCTCTGATCATAATAACTTTTCGTTTATTATAATGTAAGCAATACCTAGTTTTTGGGTTGTAGTTAAAATGTACCTTCCAGCGTATTCTTTTGTTTAGTGTTAATTCACATGGGTTCCTCATAAAAAAATTGTTTCGATACATTTTACTCTAGTGGATCTTTTTGTACAAACGTTTTTAAACATTAACCGATTATACCAGGGAATACACTGAGTACCTGTATACTTACTATATAAAAGAACATTTTTAGTTTCTCTCACGAGCACCATTCAATACATTTGTTTTTTATTTATTTATTATCATTCTTTAATGAGCTAAACATTGTCAGTTGTTTTTTATGTTTAAGATTCTGGACATTTTAGATTGAACCCTTCGATATTTGTTCCTATTGTATGATTTTTTCTAATTCTTTTTTTTGTTTTTCTAAAATGCATCTGCCTGCGGGCGCCAACACTCCCCTTCAATTTTTTTTTTAGGAATTTGACTCTAGTTGAATTTTTTGAACAAACTTGATTATTGATTACCTGCAGGTGCCCTCTATATTATCATTCTTAAATAAGCTAATTATTGGCAATATTGTTTTTTCTGTTTTGGATTCTGGACATTTTAGTTTGAACCTTCGATATTTGTTCCTATTGTATGATTTTTTCTAATTTTTTTTTTGTTTTTTTAAAATGCATTTGCCTGCGGGCGCCAACACCCCCCTTCAATTTTTTTTTTTAGGAATTTGACTCTAGTTGAATTTTTGAATAGACTTGAATATTGTTAAGAAGCAGGTGCCCTCTGTATCATCATTCTTTAATGAGCTAATCATTGAAAATATTGTTTTTTCTGTTTTGGATTCTGGACATTTTAGTTTGAACCTTCGATATTTGTTCCTATTGTATGATTTTTTCTAATTTTTTTTTTTGTTTTTCTAAAATGCATTTGCCTGCGGGCGCCAACACCCCCCTTCAATTTTTTTTTTTGGAATTTGACTCTAGTTGAATTTTTTGAACAAACTTGATTATTGATTACCTGCAGGTGCCCTTTATATTATCATTCTTGAATAAGCTAATTATTGGCAATATTGTTTTTTCTGTTTTGGATTCTGGACATTTTAGTTTGAACCTTCGATATTTGTTCCTATTGAATGATTTTTTCTAATTTTTTTTTTTGTTTTTCTAAAATGCATTTGCCTGCGGGCGCCAACACCCCCCTTCAATTTTTTTTTTTTGGAATTTGACTCTAGTTGAATTTTTTGAATAGACTTGAATATTGTTAAGAAGCAGGTGCCCTCTGTATCATCATTCTTTAATGAGCTAATCATTGGCAATATTGTTTTTTCTGTTTTGGATTCTGGACATTTTAGTTTGAACCCTTCGATATTTGTTCCTATTGTATGATTTTTTCTAATTTTTTTTTTTGTTTTTCTAAAATGCATTTGCCTGCGGGCGCCAACACTCCCCTTCAATTTTTTTTTAGGAATTTGACTATAGTTGAATTTTTTGAACAAACTTGATTATTGATTACCTGCAGTTGCCCTCTATATTATCATTCTTGAATAAGCTAATTATTGGCAATATTGTTTTTTCTGTTTTGGATTCTGGACATTTTAGTTTGAACCTTCGATATTTGTTCCTATTGAATGATTTTTTCTAATTTTTTTTTTGTTTTTCTAAAATGCATTTGCCTGCGGGCGCCAACACCCCCCTTCAATTTTTTTTTTTGGAATTTGACTCTAGTTGAATTTTTTGAACAAACTTGATTATTGATTACCTGCAGGTGCCCTCTATATTATCATTCTTGAATAAGCTAATTATTGGCAATATTGTTTTTTCTGTTTTGGATTCTGGACATTTTAGTTTGAACCTTCGATATTTGTTCCTATTGTATGATTTTTTCTAATTTTTTTTTTTGTTTTTCTAAAATGCATTTGCCTGCGGGCGCCAACACCCCCCTTCAATTTTTTTTTTTGGAATTTGACTCTAGTTGAATTTTTTGAATAGACTTGAATATTGTTAAGAAGCAGGTGCCCTCTGTATCATCATTCTTTAATGAGCTAATCATTGGCAATATTGTTTTTTCTGTTTTGGATTCTGGACATTTTAGTTTGAACCCTTCGATATTTGTTCCTATTGTATGATTTTTTCTAATTTTTTTTTTGTTTTTCTAAAATGCATTTGCCTGCGGGCGCCAACAGTCCCCTTCAATTTTTTTTTAGGAATTTGACTCTAGTTGAATTTTTTGAACAAACTTGATTATTGATTACCTGCAGGTGCCCTCTATATTATCATTCTTGAATAAGCTAATTATTGGCAATATTGTTTTTTCTGTTTTGGATTCTGGACATTTTAGTTTGAACCTTCGATATTTGTTCCTATTGTATGATTTTTTCTAATTTTTTTTTTGTTTTTCTAAAATGCATTTGCCTGCGGGCGCCAACACCCCCCTTCAATTTTTTTTTTTGGAATTTGACTCTAGTTGAATTTTTTGAATAGACTTGAATATTGTTAAGAAGCAGGTGCCTTTTGTATTATCATTCTTTAATGAACTAATCACTGGCAATATTGTTTTTTTCTGTTTTGTATTCTGGACATTTTAGTTTGAACTCTTTAATGTGTTTTCCTACTGTACAATTTTTCCTGAATTTTTTTTTGGTTTTCTAAAATGCAATTGCCTGCGGGCGCCAACAATCCCCTTCAATTTTTTTTTTTGGAATTTCACTCTAGTTGAATTTTTTGAACAAACTTGATTATTGATTACCTGCAGGTGCCCTCTGTATTATCATTCTTTAATGAGCTTATCGACGTCAGTTGTTTTTCTCTTTAAGATTCTGGACATTTAGTGTATGAACCCTTCAAATTGGCTTAATATCGTATAATTTTTTCTTAATTTTTTTTGGTTTTCTAAAATTTAATTGACTGCGGTCGCCAACACTCCCCTTCAATTTTAGATTCTGAGTGAAACGATGAATTATTGATTTTACAATGATGTGTATTTATTTATTTAATTTTTTAATTTTTTTAATTTTTTTTGTGTCTGTGGTCACGATAAGTAGTCGAAATAATGCTTCGATTTTCGACTTCAGTATCTTGTTCGATTGGAAAGTGAATATCGTTGGTGCATTGGGGAGGTCAACATTTAAAATTCCCACTACTTTTCAAAATCGCCAAAAAAAACTAAAGAAAAATTAAGGAAAAACGGGAATTTTTACGCAAAATCGATTTTTCAGAAAATTGAATTTGGTTTTTGGTGTACCAAATGACCGTAGATACATGAAATTTTCACCGGTTGTTTATATTTGCATTTTCTATACACGATAAAATTTTCAAAATATTTTGATTTATTTTGAACTGTTTAGGGACATTTTCATTTTCCATTTTTTTTTAGTTTTTTTTTTCTAAAAATATCAATAAAATTTTATTTGTTGGTTAATAAAGCTTGAAAATTTAATAGAAGGCTCCTAGTACATTGTTTCAAAAGCAGATGAAAATAATTAAAAATCCTTAATCACAGTTTTTTTTTTTACAAGCATTTAAAGTTCAAAAATTGACAAAATATGGTAGAATCACGAAAATTAGCAATTTATTTTGAGTTAAGAATTCGTAGAAATTTTTCTTTTTAAATCTAAGACTTTAAAATGTAATACAAGATTCCTTATAAGATTTTCTACATTTATCAAAAAAAAAAAATGTCCATAAGTAAGTCAAATTAAATTTTTATGAGCGTTTGAAATTCAAATTTTTACAACATTGGATATTCACTCGATTTCTCATGTAGCGATTTCCTTATTTTGTTGTAATTCATAAACGAATAACTATAGATACATGAAAATTTCACTGAATGTTAATATTAGCATTTCCTATACACCATACAATTTTGAAAATATTTTGACTCTTTTTGAGCTGTTTATGGAGATTTTCAGTTTTTTTACAGGTAATGAGCCTAGTTCAACTCAAAAGGTAGAGCTGGAAAAGTGGAAAAAGGATGACAAGAAATGTAAGTCCCTAATTGTTCAATGTGTTGCTGAAAGTCATTTAGAGTATGTAATGGGCAAAGAAACTGCGAAGGAAATCTGGAATTCGTTAGTTCAGACGTTTGAACGTAAGGGTGTTGCGAGTCAACTGTATCTAAGACGGCGGTTACTTACACTAAAACTTGAAAATGACACTAATCTTGAAGCTCATTTTATAAAATTTGATGAACTTATAAGACAGTTGAAGTCAGCTGGGGCAAAACTGGAAAAAGAAGATATAGTATGTCATCTTCTGTTGACGATGCCGGAAACATATAACAATGTTGTGACAGCAATAGAAACACTTTCAATTGAGAAAGTAACAATTGAATTTGTTAAAGGAAGATTGCTGGATGAAGAAGCTAAGAAAACAAATACTACAGATATACCTCAACAGAGAAGTACAGCTTTTGGAACTACAAGTAACAGTAGTTTTCCATTTAAATGCTATGGATGTGATAAAGTTGGTCATCGGGTATCAGAATGTAAATTTAAAAAAAAGTTTGGTAGAGACAAAAATAAGAAATCTTCCAAAAAGTCAACAGCAAATAATGTTGTCAGCAAAAGTGAAGATGCGGTTTGTTTTTCAATTGGAAAAGATATGGAACCTACCGAGAAGGCAAGTGAAATTTTTTGGTTCATTGATTCCGGTTGTTCAGATCACTTGGTGAATCAAGAAAAATATTTCCCCTTTATAAAGCAAATGGAAACTCCTCTGAACATCGGAGTTGCCAAAAATGGGGAAAGTTTAATTGCGACTAAGACAGGTACAATAATTTCTTATAGTAGAGTTGATGGTGAAGAAATTCTGTGTAAGTTTGAAAACGTATACTACGTACCTAATCTAAGGTACAACTTATTATCAGTTGGTAAGATCGAACAGTTGAACTTTAAAGTTGTGTTTGAAAATGGTCTTGCAACAATCACTCAACCTAGTGGAAATGTAGTTGCTGTTGCACGCAGAATGAGAACTCTGTATGGCATAACTTTCTCTCTAAAACCAAATACTTGTGCAAATAACTGTATTGATACACAAATTGATGAGAGTTTGTGGCACCAAAGGATGGGACATCCAAACAAAAGTTATTTATGGATGTTGAGAGATATGGTTACTGAACTAAATCTTAACAAGAATGATATTCCGGAGTTCTGCCAAACATGTGTAGAAAGCAAGCACTCAAGAAAACCATTTCAATCAAGGTCTTTTCAGACTCGTCGTCCGCTGGAAATTGTGCACAGTGATGTGTGTGGACCAATATCACCGACTACTTGGAACGGTAAGAAATACTTTCTTTCATTCACTGATGATTATACCCGTTTTTCAATTATTTATTTATTAGAAAAAAAAAGTCAAGTGTTGCAATGCTTTCAAAATTATGAAGCAACTGTAAGTGCATTTTTTGATTTAAAAGTTTCCATATTGAGATGTGACAATGGAGGGGAGTATGTAAGCAATGAGTTAAAACGTTTTTGTTCAGTTAAAGGAATTGTTGTTGACTATACTGTTCCTTACACACCTGAACAAAATGGTTTAGCAGAAAGATTGAATAGAACATTGGTAGAAAGAACAAGATCATTGCTGTTACAATCAAACTTGTCAAAAGAAATGTGGGGAGAAGCAGTACTCACGGCCGCTTATTTGGGAAACCGACTATCAACACATGCAAATATAAAGAAGACTCCTGTTGAGCTTTGGACTGGAAGTAAGCCTAACTTAAACAATATTAGAATCTTCGGATGCGTTGCTTTCGCACACATACCAGACCAATTGAGGCGTAAGTTAGACTCAAAGTCAAAAAGATGTATATTTGTTGGTTATACAAAAAATGGTTATAGGCTATGGGATCCATTAACAAAGACTGTGTTTGTCAGTCGAGATGTCATATTTAATGAAAAAGAATTGTTAAATCCTATAATTACTAATAATGAAAAGAAAATACTTGTTGAAATAAACAATTCAGAAATTGCTGAGGAATCAGAAGAAACCACTGAACAAGAATCTCAAGATGAAGAAAGAAAAACAGAAAATGATGTGGATAAAGTCATTGGAAATAATATACCAACACAAGAACAATTGAAAAGAAACAGGAAAACTCCAACGTGGCATAAGGATTATGAAATGTCAATGATGGCACTTTCTGTTGAATACTATGTTCAAGATTTACCAGAAACTGTTGAAGAAATCAAAACTCACCCAAATCATACTCAGTGGAAAGCAGCTATGGAAGAAGAAATGAGAGCTCTTAATGAGAATAATACATGGACTTTGGTTAAAAGACTGCCTAACAAAAGGGTTATGAACAACAAGTGGGTCTTTAAAGTTAAAACTGATGAACAAGGAAATGTTATACGATTTAAAGCAAGACTTGTTGTCAAAGGCTATTCTCAAAAGTTGGGTTTTGACTATATGGATACCTATGCACCTGTAGCCAACATAGTGACTGTTCACACATTACTATCACTGGCACTACACAAAGACTTGCATATTATTCAAATGGATGTGACAACAGCGTTTCTGAATGGAATAGTTGAAGAAGAATTGTACATGAGACAACCTGAGGGTTTTGAGAAAGGGGAAAACTTAGTTTGTAAACTAAATAAATCATTGTATGGTTTAAAACAAGCTCCTTATTGTTGGAATAAAAGATTTAATGAATTTATTGAAGGGCAAGGATTAGTAAGAAGTAATTCTGATCGATGCGTATACATAAAAATTAATAGTAATGTATGTTTATTTTTACTATTGTATGTGGATGATGTTCTAATAGTGAGCCACTCTATGAAGTCAATGAATGACTTAAGAAGAACACTGAAAGAAGAATTTAAATTAACCGATCAAGGCGAAGCAAAATCATTTCTAGGTATTAAAATAGAACGTACTGAAGACTCTATGAAAATTAGTCAAACTCATTATTTGGAAAAGTTGCTGAAGAAATTTTCAATGGAAGACTGCAAGCCAATATCGACACCTATGGAAACCAAACTTAATACAGAAAATGGAGAGGCAACTAATAAACCTTATCGCGAGTTAATTGGCTGTCTAATGTATGTAATGATTCAAACAAGACCGGATTTAAGCGTTGCAGTGAACTTAATTAGTCGATATCAGTCTCAACCGACAGACAGTTTATACATTCAACTCAAAAGAGTACTACGCTATGTGAAGGGTACTACTGATTTTGGTCTTATCTATAAAAAGGGTAAAGAAGTAAGTCCACTAAGGGGATTTGTTGATGCAGATTTCGCTAATGACATCAACGATAGGAAATCTTCCTCTGGATACTTATTTCAAATATATGGATCCACAGTTTGCTGGTCTACAAGAAAGCAATCAACAGTAGCAATCTCCTCAACAGAGGCTGAATATCTAGCATTGGCATCAGCTATACAAGAACCTATGTGGCTCAAAGGTTTACTTGTTGAAATGTGCGTTATAGGAGCAGATGAACAAATTGTTTTGTATGAAGACAATCAATCCTGCATCAAAATTTCTGAAGAGCCAAGAAAACATCAAAGACTTAAACATCTAGATACCAAGTACAATTTCATTAATGAATCAATTGCCAACAATGAAATAAAATTGGAGTATGTTCCATCAGAAAATCAGCTAGCCGACATTCTTACTAAACCACTGTCGGCTTCAACATTTATGAGACTGAAGAAACTTATTGGTGTCAATGAATACTAAGATTATTTTTTTTTATGGTTTATATTAAATTAGTCAATAGTCAAGTATAATATTGTTATTTGTTTTACATTATGTTTATTTATTATTATTATTTTACCTATGTTATATGTATACTTGAAATTTTTAATTAATGTTTGTAGTTACAAG